AAAAAAACCAAAAGTTTGCAAATAAGCAAACTTTCGTATTTCACAGACAATTGTATAGATGGAATTCTAATTGATGTGAGAAGAAAGTTTTACCTTGATTTTTCAAAGTTCGGGCTGGGTTTAACTTCATAGGGATTAATTCGCTTATACAGCGAGAAGACTCTAGAATCTTTGTGGACAGTTCTTTGTATGTAGGTATACGGTATGGCTGAGAATATGGTTTTCGAAAATAATATAGCAACTTGTTTATGCATATAATAGCCTCGCTTTACATGACTCGTCTTTATACGGGTCCGATTAGCGCCCGAATGGGGAGAGGATGGTTCAAGACCAACAGTATCTCTATATCTTAACTTACTTCACTGACTTTGAGTACATCTTTTCATTTTTAAGACGCCAACTTAGACCAAGTCCAAAATGGCAAGAAGATTGCGGCTCTGCTGGACGCCCAACGGGTAGGAGGTGAGCTCATCTATACTGTTTTGTACCAAGGAAAGGGTCCTAGGAAGGAAAGGATCGATTCTATACCGTCAAGTGTCCTGAGGAAGTATGCCAATGAGGTGAGTCTGCGGTTATTACGGGAGATTTTTTCAATCATGATATTTACAGAATTTTCTCGACTGTCTGGAACAGTATGCTTTGGCAAATTGTGAGAATCATGCTTTTGTGTGATTGGCAGTACAAGTTTGAACTTTTTGTAATTAGTGTGTTCTGTAATTCTAGTATGTCTAGTTATTTTGCTTTGCTTGATGACTGCGTTAGACAGGGTAAGCGCTACACCTCGTTGTTTGGATTTTTGAGTATCATCGAATCCGAAATAGCGTGAATTAGGAATTGTATCTATTTTTGTTCTTTGTATGTCCAAAATTTTATTTTGAAAGAATTCGCCTTTTTTCCTGCGAATGCCTCGAAAATGTATTTTGCCATTCTTTGCCATCTGCTACTTCAAAATTTGACATTCTTACCTTTCGCAATGCATTCCCGGATTTTCTTAGATGTTTATGTGCGATCTCAAGTCGGTTGGCTATTGTTAATATGTAAGACATAATCAAAATTGATTTACTTAGTTCGTCTGTTCACACTTTTCACATATCCATAATGAGTTATGATTATTCGTCCACTTCTTTTTGCTCAGATTATACGTTTTTTTTTGTTTTTTCCTCATTTACATGACCGCACAATGTTGCATTCACATAAATTTC